AGGGACTGGAGCCACTGAGAAGAGACCAGGGAGAACTGGGAGGAATTGGGAGATACCCCCCAGTCCCTCCCAGTTCCCCCAGCTGACCCCAGTGCCCCCAGTTCACCTCCCAGTTCCCCCAGCTGACCCCGGTGTTCCCAGTTCGCTCTCAACGCGGGTTTGCGGTTCCTGACTCCTGAGGAGCAGTTCCTGGGCTGGGCCCCAGCGCCCTTTAACCTCCCAGCCTTCGACCCCGTGAGTGACCACCGACCCCAGAAATGACCAGTGACCTCAGGAATGACCACTGAGCCTGTCCCCGATGCTGACCTTTGACCTTTGTCCCCAGCGTGACCTGGACAAAGCCCCCCAGGAGCTCCCCGAGGCTGAACTGGTGTCGGACGGGCCCGAGGTGCTGCTGACCGTTGGCTTCCCCGGGGGTGAGTGACCGCTGGGCTGACCGCTGCCGTGGCTGCTGAGCCAGCCCTGCTTCCCGTCCCTGATGGGAGAAAAGAGAGAGGAAAAAGGGAGGAAAAATGGCGGGAAGCGTGAGGGGAAAAAGGGCGGGAAACGTGAGGGGAGGGAAAATGGCGAGAAGCGTGAGGGGAGAAAAGAGCGGGAAATGTGAAGGGAGAAAAGAGCGGGAAACATGAGGGGAGAAAAGAGCGGGAAATGTGAAGGGAGAAAAGAGCGGGAAACGTGAGGGGAGAAAAGGGCGGGAAACGTGAGGGGAGGGAAAATGGCGGGAAGCGTGAGGGAAGAAGAGAGTGGGAAACATGAGGGGAGAAGAGGGTGGGAAATGTGAGGGGAAAAGGGCAGGAAAAGTGAGGAGGGGAAATGGTGAGAAACTTGGAAAGGAGGCGGGAAGTGTGAGGGGAGAAAAAGGGGGGAAATGTGAGGGGAGAAGACGGCGGGAAATGTGAGAGGGGAAATGGTGAGAAACTGTGGGAAAAGGGGTGGGAAATGGAGGGGAGAAAAGGTGGGAAATGAGGGGAAAAAGTGGGAAACGTGGAGGGAGAAAAATGTGGGAAACATGAGGGGGAAAATGGGGAGAAACTGTGGGAAAAGGATCGGGAAATGTGAGAGGGAAAAAAGAGTGGGAAATGTGAGGGGAGAAAAGGGCAGGAAATGTGAGAGTTAAAAGGGGAAATGTGAGGGGGAAAAATGGGTTGGGAACTGTGGAAAACCGTGGGAAATGTGAGAGGAAAAAGGAAAACTTTTCCCCCCAGCCGGCAAATCCACTTTCGTGAAGCGGCACCTGGTCCCGGCAGGATACGAATACGTGAACAGGGTGAGTTCCCGAGCCCCGTGGGACCTCCGGGGCACGCTGGGCTCATGGCCGCTCTGTGCCCTGCCTGCTGAGCCACCCTGGCCCGGTGTGAGCTCTGCGGCACCCCCGGTCACCCCCAGGACACGCTGGGCTCATGGCAACGCTGCGTCTCCGCCTGCTCGGCCGCCCTGGCTCGCGGCCGCCCCGTTGTTGTGGACAACACCAACCCTGACCCCGAATCGCGGCAAAGGCCAGTCTGGGGACTGGGAGGGCACTGGGAACTGCTCCCCCCCAGCCCTTGGACCCCTTTTCTGGGGTTTTGGGGACCCCCTGACCCGCCCTGCTCCCCCAGGTTCGTGTCCTGCGCCCGGGAGGCCGCGGTGCCATGTCGGTGCCTCCAGTTCACGGCGAGCCTGGAGCAGGCGCGGCACAACTGCAGGGTGAGGAGGGGGCTGAGGGGGTCCTGATCCTCCTCCCGAGGGGTGAGGCTGAACCCTCAGCACCCCTGAACCTTTTTCTTTGGGTTTTCACCCCAAAAAGTTCCGGGATATGACGCAGACCGGCCACGTCCCCGTCACTGACGCTGTTCTGTTCAGCTACAAGTGAGAGGGGATTGGGTCTGGGGGGGGCCAGGGGGAATTTTGGGGGATCTGAGGTGTTTTGGGGAATCCTTGGGAAGGATCTAAAGGGGCTTGGGGGGGGATTTTGGGGGATCTGAGAGGAATTTTGGGGCATTTGAGATGTTTTGGGAGCTCTGTAGGGATGGTTTAGAGGCTTTGCGGGGGTTGGGGGAATTTTTGCCTTTTTCTCCATTATTTAGCCCCGTTACTTTTTTTTTTTGTTTGTTTAGTTTTCTCTAAGGCATTTGAGATGTTTTGGGAGCTCTGTAGGGATGGTTTAGAGGCTTTGGGGGGGTTGGGGGAATTTGGGGCTGGTTTGGGATTTTTGCCCTTTCTCCATTATTTAGCTCCATTACGTTTTTTTTTGTTCCGTTTTCCATGTTTTTGCCTCTTTCCCAGTTTTGGGGGCTTTTCCCTGTTCTATTCTCTGCCTCATTTTGGGTGGACTTTTGCTCCCCTCCTTTCTCCTCACTTGGGTGGGTTTATCCCATTTTTGCTGGGTTTTCCCCCATCTGGAGCCGTTTTTCCTCCCACTTTACCCAAATCTGGGTGATTTTCCCCCATTTCCTCCCCCTCAGGAAACAATTTGTGGCCCCCGACCTCTCCGAAGGCTTCTCCCAAATCCTCCAGATCCCCTTTGTGCCCCATTTTGGGGACCCCCCAGACCCCCAACGGAGGCGCCTCTTCTTCCAGTTCAGCGATGGATGAAGACCCCCACTGAACCCCCAAATAAAGGCACTGCCCCTCCCCCCATTTTTGGGAGATTTTGGGCTCCAAATCAGATTTATTGTACAAAGGGGGGGAGGGGTGAGTGGGGGAGGGGCACTGGGGGGGGTCACGGTGTTTCCATGGATTCACTCTCTGTGGAGAGAAGGGGAGAGGGGCTGAGTCAGGAACCCCCCAGCATCCCCAAGTCCCCCCAATTTACCCTTTTGCCCGCATTTTTTAATTTTTATCTACTTTCTTCAAGTTTTACCATCCCATTTTCAACTATTTTTGCCCCAATTCTTTCATTTTTAGATAATTTTACCTTTTTTTTACCTGATTTTCCCAATTTTTACCTAATTTCTTCCACTTTCACCCCTTTGCCCCCAACTTTTCCTATTTACCCAATTCTTGGCCAATTCCTCCCCTTACTTTTGCCCAGTTTTCTCCTCTTCCTCCTATTTCTTCATTTTGCATTCCATTTCCCCTGATTTTATAATCCATTCTTACTCAGCTTCCCCTATGTTTGCCCCAACTCCTTATTTTTCATCTTATTTCTCCCTAGTTTCATCATTTTTACCCAATTTCTCACATTTCACCCCATTTGCCACATTTTTTCCTCTACTTCTTCCATTTTTGCCCCTTTTTTGCCAAACTCCATCCATTTTTTCCCCCTGCTGTTTTGCCCATTTCTCTTCTTTTTCCTTCATCCCTTCCACTTCATTTCCACCTCATCCCTCCCAATTCATTTCCGCTCCCAACCCCGCCATTTTTAGCCGTTTACCCCGATTTTCTCCCACTTTTACCCCTCCCTGCTCCCCCTCCGTGTTGCCCCACGTTACCCACCCTGCTTTGGAGACCCCCGGGTGTCCCCCCCCGCTGTCCCCGTGTCCCCCGGTGCTCACGGAGCTCGTTGAACAGGAAGGCCTCCTGGTACTCCCTCATGTACTGCGTGGAGCGCGACTCGTCCAGGAACAGCGAATACACGCGCTTGATGTCCTCCACCCCCACCTCCGCGCCCTGCCAGCCACACAATATTGCACTAAGCGTTTCCCACTCTCTTTTCCTGCTTTTCACTCTTTCTCCCCTCACGTTTCCCACTCTTCTCCCCTCACGTTTCACCCTCACGCTTCCCTCCCTTTTCTCCCCTCACATTTCCCGCCCTTTTCCCCCCCCTCACATTTCCCGCCCTTTCCCCCCCTCACATTTCCTGCAAATATTTCACCAATTTCCCACTCTTTTCTTGTTTTTCACTCTCTTGCCTCCTCACATTTCCTGCCCTTTTTCCCCTCGTGTTTCCTACTCTTTTTCTCCTCAAGTTTCCCACTCTTTTCTCCCCTCACGTTTCACCCTCACGCTTCCCTCCCTTTTCTCCCCTCACGTTTCCCACAAATATTTCACCTCATGTTTCCCACTCTCGTTTTTCACTCTTTTCCCCCTCACGTTTCCCTCCCTTTTCTCCCCTCATGTTTCCTGCTCTCTTTTCCTATTTTTCACTCTTCTGCCTCCTCACAATTCCTGCCTTTTTTCCTCCCTCATGTTTCCCTCTCTTTTTCCCCTCACGTTTCCCCTTCTCTCCTCACATTTCCCGCCCTTTTCCCTCCCTCATATTTTCTGCAAATATTTCACCTATTTCCCACTCTCTTCTTGTTTTTCACTCTCTTGCCTCCTCACATTTCCTGCCCTTTTCCCCCTCACATTTCCCCCCCTTTTCTCCTATTTCTTGCCTTTTTTCCTCCCTCCCGTTTCCCGCCCTTTTCCCCCTCACATTTCCCCCCCTTTTCTCCTATTTCTTGCCTTTTTTCCTCCCTCACGTTTCCCGCAAATGTTGCACCTCACGTTTCCCACTCTCTTTTTCTGGTTTTCATTCTTTTGCCTCCTCACATTTCCTGCCCTTTTCCCCCTCACATTTCCCACCCTTTTCTCCTATTTCTTGCCTTTTTTCCTCCCTCACGTTTCCCGCCCTTTTCCCCCTCACATTTCCCACCCTTTTTCCCCTCACGTTTCCCACTCTTTTCCCCCCTCACATTTCCCACCCTTTTCCCAAAGCTCATATGTGACCCCAAACCATCAGGACCGCCCCAAATCCACCCTGAGTCACCACAAACCTCCCCCAGAGCCCCCCAGACCTCCCTCAGCACCCCATGTCCAGGCCCCACAGCGCTGCCCCCATCATTTGGGGTCCCACCCCACCTCCAGACCCCAGTTTTGGGACGCCATTCCCCAAATTTTGGGGTGTCTCTGGGCTTTGGCCCACCTTGCGTTTCCTGGCCACCAGGCTGGCGGCGGTGATGAGCTGTATGGCGTAGCGCAGCGACGTCTCCAGCCCGATGCGCGTCAGCACCGCGTACGCGTCCTCCGTCATCTCCACGTCCTCCTCCTCACACCTGCACCCCCAAACCAGTCAGGGGGACCCCAAAATGGCCGGGGGAATCCCCTAAAAAGGGGCAGGGGGCCTCCACAAGAGGCCCTGGGGCACCCCAGTGGGGTTATGGGGTACCCAGGGGGGCTGATGAGGACCCAGGTGGGCAACTGGGGGGTCCTTAAGGGGTTGGGGGCACCCTGTGAGGATTAGGGGTGTCCCAGAGGGGATTTTGGGGTGTCTGGGGGCACTCTGAGGGAGTTAAGGGGCACCCCAAGAGTGCTCAGGGCATCTGGAGAGAGTTATGGGGTACTCCAGAAGGCTTTTGGGGTGTCAAGGATTTTAGGGGTACCCTGAAGAGCAGCCCTGGTGTGTTGAGGGACACCAGCCATGTTTGAGGTTTGGGGTGTCCAGGGTGGGTTTCAGGGTTCAGCTTGATTTTGGGGGTGTCAGAGATGGTTTTTGGAGGTTCCCCACCCCTATTTTGAGAACTTTCTGGGTCTCTTTCCCCCCGTACAAGGCCATGACAAACAGTTTTGGGGTGCCCAGGTGTGTCAGGGCGTGGTTTGGGCTGTGTCAAGGAGGATTTCGGGGTGTCCCACCGGATTTTGAGGATCTGCCGCGTCTCCTTGTCGCCGTACGGGGCCGTGGCGATGATCAGCAGCCGGTCCAGCAGATCCAGCGGGAGCCCGTGGGGGCTGCGGTGGGCAGTGCCTCGGATCCTGAGGGACACGTGGACGTGAGGGGGGTTCACCTGAGGTTTGGGGGTGCCCAGGTGTGCCCAGGTGTGCTCAGGTACCTGGTGATGCCGCGGTTCGTGGCCATGATCAGCACGGGCGCCATGTCGCTCTCCAGGGCCCGGTTGAGGAACGAGAAGCTCTCGATGTCCAACATGTGAACCTCGTCGATGAACAGCACCTGGGCGGTTTTGGGGGGCTCTTGATGATCCTCGAGGGGGTTTTGGGGGGTCCTGGGGGGCTCTTGAGGGGGTTTGGGGGGTCAGGGCTTACCCCAGGGATGACCTCGGCCTTGCCCTCCTCGCGCCACTCGGCCACTTTGGCGTTGATCTGCTCCCGCACCTCCGGCTTGATCTCACCTGTGTCACCTGGATTTGGGGTTTGGGGGCGGTCAGAGGCAGTTTTGGGGTTCCCAGGTGCAGTTTTGGGGTCTGAGAGTACCCAAAAAGAGGGCTCAGCCCCCCTGGGGTGGGTCAGGTGCACTATGGAGGCCCCAGGAGCAGTTTTGGGAGTCTGGGGATGGCCAAGAAGAGAAGCGCCCCAGCTTCGAGATCTTCCCTGTGGCCTTGTCGATGGTGATGACGTCCCTGGGGACAGAAATAGAGTATTTTGGTATTTTTTTCACTTCTCACATTTCCCACCCTTTTCCCCTCACATTTTCCTCCCTTTTCCCCCTCACATTTCCCTTTCCCCCCTCACATTTCACGCACTTTTTTTCCCCCTCATGTTTCCTGCCCTTTTTCCCCCTCACATTTCTCACTTTGCCCTTCACATTTTCTGCCCTGTTTCTTCTGACACTTCCTGCCTTTTCACCTGACATTTCCTGGCTTTTTTCCATGTGTTTTTCTCCTTTTTCCCCTCACATTTCCCGCCCTTTTTCCCCTCATGTTTCCCACCATTTTCCCCCCTCACGTTTCCATTTTTCCCCTCACGTTTCCCACCTTTTCCCCTCATATTTCCCACCCTTTTTCCCTCCTTACATTTCCTACTTTTCCCCTGACATTTTCTGTCCTTTTCCCTCTCACACTTCCTGCCTTTTCACCTCACATTTCCTGCCTTTTTACCTTGTGTTTTTCTCCTTTTTCCCCTCACGTTTCCCGCCCTTTTTCCCCTCATGTTTCCCACCCTTTTCCCCTCATATTTCCATTTTCCCCCTCACGTTTCCCACCTTTTTCCCTTCATATTTCCCACCCTTTTCCCCTCATATTTCCATTTTCCCCCTCACGTTTCCCGCCCTTTTTCCCCTCATGTTTCCCACCCTCTTCCCCCCTCATGCTTCCATTTTCCCCCTCACGTTTCCCATCCTTTTTCCCCCCTCACATTTCTCACTTTGCCCCTCAAATTTTGTGCCCTTTTTCCTCTCACACTTCCTGCCTTTTCCCCTCACATTTCCTGGCTTTTTTCCGTGTGTTTTTCTCCTTTTTCCCCTCACGTTTCCCGCCCTTTTTCCCAAAACCCTCCCCGCAGCCCCCAGAGACCCCCAAAAACCTCACCTGTGCCCCCATGGCGTCGTAGTCCCGTGCTCGGGTGAAGGAGCGCCCCAGCTTCGAGATCTTCCCTGTGGCCTTGTCGATGGTGATGACATCCCTGGGGACAGAAATAAGAGTATTTTGGTATTTTTTTCACTTCTCACATTTCCCACCCTTTCCCCCTCACATTTTCCTCCCTTTTCCCCCTCACTTTTCCCACCCGTTGCCCCCTCACGTTTCTCTCCCTTTTTCCCCTCATGTTTCCCACCATTTTCCCCTCACGTTTCCATTTTCCCTCTCACATTTCCCACCCTTTTTCCCCCCTCACATTTCTCACTTTGCCCTTCACATTTTCTGCCCTGTTTTTTCTGACAGCTCCTGCTTTTTCACCTAACATTTCCTGGTTTTTTCCCTTGTGTCTTCCTCCTTTCTGCCCTCACATTTCCCGCCTTTTTCCCCCTCATGTTTCCTGCCCTTTTCCCCCCCTCATATTTCCCACCTTTTTTCCTAAATTGGGCTGGAGAGTGAAATTTGGGGGGTGCAGACTCTACCAGAGTAACAAAACAGGATATGGGGACCCCAAAATTTGGGAAGAAACCCCAAAATTGGGGTGTTGGACCCCAAAACAGGGAAAGAAGAGATGAAATTGAGCTCAAAACAGGAAAATGGGGAGCGGGAAGCACAAAATGTTGTGGGGGGACTGAAAATGGGGGAAAAGATTCCGGAATTTGGGGGGCAGATCCTGGAATGGATCAGGATTTTGAGGGGGACACCTAAATTAGGATGGGGAACCCCAAAATTGTGAGGAAACAAAGTTATAAACTCCCCTCAAACTCACCCCTGACCTTTCCAACCCCCCTAAATCCCCCCCTAACTGCCCTAAATCCCCCCAAATCCTTCTCTAAATGCCCCAAAATAAAAATAAAATTTAAGTGGAAAGAATAAAATGAGAGAAAAACCCAACAACAAATCTCAAAAACGGGAAGTAATAAAAAACGAGACGTGTGGACCCCAAAATGGAGCAGGTGAGAACCCTAAAATTGGGGTGGGGACCTCAAAATTTTGAGTTGACCCCCCAAAATTCATCAGAGTGCTCTGAAATTAAGGACAAAACCAAACAGAGCTTAAAACAAATGAGAAAACCACCCGGCAGCGGGGACAAAAAACGGGGTGGGGACCCCGAAAGGCGGCGTGGGACCCCCCAGATCGGGGTGGGGACCCCCCGTACTTGATGCGGACGCCGATGGAGCGGCGGAAGGCCTGGGTCAGCGCCTCGGTGCGCGACATCTCCAGGGAGAAGATCTCGCTGCCCGCGATGGCCGTGAAGGGCGTGTCGGGGCCCAGCGCCTGCGCCATGCCTGCGGGGAAAAACGGGGTTTGGGAATGGCCGTTTTCCCCGTGCCCGGCTGCCCGGCGATCAGCACGGCTCTCCCGGCGATTTTCCCCTCCTTGATCATCTCCAGGATGACGCCGGCGGCGCGCCGGGCCGACAGCTGCCCCACCATGCCCTGCGACACCTGGGGGGCACCGGGAGGGGCTGAACCCCCACATTTCGGGGGTGCAGACCCCTCCCCAAAACCTACAAACCCCCCCCATCCTCGTACCTGCCGCGGCTCCAGGGCATCGTCCAGGCCCAGCCCGCGGATGTGGGAGTGGGCGCCTGGGAGAGGAATTTGGGGGGGTCACCAGGGGTCTCCCACATTTTGGGGACCCTCTCAATGCCCCCCAAAAGTTGGGAGCGATCCCCCAAATTCCTGAATCCTTCTGAGCCCCGTTTTCCCGATTTTAGGATCCCACCCCACAAGTCGGGCACCACCCAAACCTCCCCCAAAAAATGGGATGGAACGCCCAAAAAGGGGTGGGGGTCCCCAAAAAGGGGAGACCCTCCCCAAAACGAGGGGTGTTTGTCTCACCGATGCGCTCGATCCGGGTCACGTCCCGAACCTCCGGAACTTTGGGGGTCTGGGAGGGAATTGGGGGGGGAGTTTGGGGTCACCCTGACGGGGGGGTCCCCAAAATTCCACTCCCGGATCCTCCCCAGGATCCCCAAATTCCCCTTCAGAGCCCCCCCATTCCCACAGAGCTGCCCCCAGACCCCTCAGGACCCCCTAAAA